GTTCCCTATAGTGCTCAAAAAAAACTTCTGTTTTTGACAATTTTCCAATGGAGAGCTTTTTGGCGCGAGGCCTTGTTCTCTCTCGGAATCGTTTGTAACTCGGGTGCACCTGGTCTGATCCGGGATTTCTTCTGCTTTAATTTCTAAGAAGGTCTTTAGATTTAGGTTCTCCATATTTTTACTTTTATTGTACTCTTAGTGAGCCTGTTCTCGTTCATATCTTTTTTTCTACCCCCTTTGGATTCTAAAATGTTGTGGACTGTTTTAACCTAGTTCATATCGAGTTGTTTTACAGGTTCATGTTCTTTAAAAATATAAACTTTGATGTGTTTTTGATAGTGAGGACGTGTAAGTGTTTTATAATAATTGCATTTCTTTGATTCTGGTTAAGGATTGATTTGAAGAGCTCTTTTTTATAGTTACCTCTTCAATTCTTTTTAATTTTCATAGGAGTTTTAATGCGGTGCAACACAGATTTTCTTTGAATGTTTCATTTGAAAATACCTTTAATTTTTTTCCAGATTCTCGTTTCACTTCGAATAAAAAAACATAATGGCTACTGGTAGTCAGTTGCAGCCTTCAGCCGTAAGCGCATTTCCGCAACCTCCGGAATATGCGAAGCAATATACTGATGAAAACATCGAGAAGAAGACTGTGTTGCCCCCGCCTCCAGTGCCGAACGAATTTACTGTTTTTGGCGAAGATTATGACTTTGATGAGGTTCTCGTACTTCTGTTTTTTTTTCTTTATTATTGAACTAATTTAATAGTTTAAAAAAGGCAAGATGTATTTAAGGAAGTTGTCAGAACTTTGCAATCGCAAAAGTTGCAACAGCTGTACTCGAATACAGCAAATTGGCGTGAGGAGTTGAAGAAACTAAACAGAAGTGCTGTCGCTGCGTTTCTGGATTTGTTGGACATTCTGATAAGGTATTGAATTTTTTTTCACTCACTCCATCTTGTAGAGCTACTTTTTCTTTGGTTGCTGAATATTTTTTTTAAAAGAAAAAGTACATAAAGACTTTTGACATATCCTGACGCAAGCTAACAGACGTAAAAAATATCGAAGTTTTGGAGGATTATTTTTATATCTTGCAGTTAACTAGAACCAATGAAAGATTTGGAAATATTTGAGGTTTTTTGTGAATTCCGCTTACAGATCTATTTTGGGTTATGTTTAGTCGTACTGGTTTGGGAACGGTAGAAAAAAGTCATTTAAAGAAGTCATTGGGACTTTGCTCATCTCCTTTATGGTGTCAGTTTTTGATTTTTTTTAAATTAATATTTTGGTAATTACCTTTACTAGGTTGACCAATTGATACATGATAAGTCGTGTGTAATTAAGGTGTCCTAGTCATCCGGAAAGGCATGAGAAGTTGCAAAATCTTCGTTTGCTGTTTATAAATATGCATCATTTGATAAACGAATATCGCCCTATACAGGCCCGTGATACTATCCAGACTATTATGAAGGCACAAATTGAATCAATTAATGTAAGTTGATGGAAGCTTTTATATATTTTCCAAGGATTTTACAAGTTTTTTTAGGAGGTTACGATTCGGTTACGGGATTTTTTGGATGCTGGCAGACGACTGCTCAACGAATGTTATGGTGAAATGCGTTGCTTTGCTGATACCGTGGAGGTGAACCCTGTATTAGTGAGTTATTTTAAAACAGTTCATTCGCGCACATGCATTATTCGTGTTTCCTCGTTGTTTTAATGGAGATTTGAACTTATGGATTGCTTTACGGTTCGTCGCTGGACCACTTTCAGTAGCCTGCTTTAGATGACAGATGTCGGCTCAGAGCGATTTGACGAAGTTAGTGAAAACTTGCGCCGGTTTGCTGAGGAGGCAAATAAACCTAAAGAAGCAAGATTTAGCGCTGAAGAACGATGGGAGGCTTTAAAAATGGACATGGCAGTCTGTGACTATCTTGATAAAAATGATGAAACAATCCCTCTTGATAGCTGACTTTGCTATTAAATTTTTTTTTTTTTCTGTGGAAAGGGGGGAAGGAATTGTTTAGTTGAAAAATTGATCAAATGAAAATTGGATGCAAAGCTGTATCCCATCCGCCTGATTACGTTTTTTTTCAGGTTTTTATCACGTTAAATTATTTCCTCAAAATAGTGTTACATATGTGTGCGAAGATGACTAAATTGGTTTATCCACTGCTTTAATCTGTTATTTTTCATAATTTGTGCAAATGTCTGTTTCCATTTAGCTTCAAAATGTGTTTTTGGCTTACATTCGACTTTTTTCTTCAATGTCAGTTTTTTTGACTCACCATCTGCAAATGTTAGCTTATTTCTGAGAAATACGGGTTACCTCAACATGTTTGTTTCATTATTTCTTTGTATATGATGTCGCTTGCGATGAATATTCTTTGAATGGGAGTTTACAAATTATGTTTTTAAATGATCAGTTTTCATTAATACTTTATGATGCAAAGTCGTTAAGTTGTTGTCGCTGCGCTGGTATCATTTAAGGGAATTGTGCTTAAACGTTTACTGCTATTTTTACTTTCTGAGTAGTAACTTATTACTAAATTACCTTTTTAAGTGGTACACTTCGTTTTAATAGATGTGTCGCGCAGATCAGTGCTTAATCGACTTTGCTGTTCCTACTGCCTCCTGTTAGCCATTGTTCTTTACAGTGTTAATAACAGGGATGAGTCCTCTGTGCTTGGAGATTTTTTTCGTCAAAAGTTAATTCTTCCTACGCATACTCTGAAGTTTTCTCCGAAGTCAGGGAAGATTTTTTTTTTTTTTGAATTACCTGGTAGATTGGGATAGCTTGTCTATTTAGATGTGACATTAGTTCGGTTTTATGTGCTATTGACACTAATGTACGGGAAAAACGTGTGGGTAGTAGTTCATAGTGTAGTAGTTAATTTTTTATGGGTTTTCAGAATGACTGAAAGTTGTGCTGTTCCGCAAGAGGCAACTGAAATGATGGCTCGTTTTGAGCGGACTGGTGTAAGGCGTGGCCTCATGTGCACGGAGTGCCATAAATATTTCCGCTCAAGGGAAGAGTTGTTCATTCATGCTGAAGGATGTTTGTTGGAAGCCTTTGAAAGTGAAGTTGTTACCGTATTTTCCGATATGCCTCTTCTGAAGGTGCCTCCACCAGCTATTGGCCCTGTTCCATCTGGAATTACAGTCAAGGTCTCGCACAAATGTTCAAGTTTTTCGTTTTTGCGAAATTTTTTTACATCTCAAAGGAATAATCAGTTGCATTTTTAGATGAATAACTCGTCTTTTATTGGGGCTGGGGATATTGGTATTTGTTTTAGAGCGATAATTTGAGTGGGCCACCTCACCTTGACCCCGAACATGGTCAAAGTGTGGTTATTTTACCTTCAACAAGCTCGCACAAGTCGTTGCAAAATGTAGGTTCGTCAGAAGACAGTGGACTAGCTGGGCCACCACCAAAACTGTCACGTTACCAAACGGATTCTTTAGAAGCTGAGGAAATTCGTAGTCCAATTGCTTACGAAACGTTAGACTTAAAAGTTCTAGATGTCTTCTTAAAGTCTCGATGCATGTTTCAAACCAATAAAAATGCTTAGTTTATTTTATATCTGAAAGTTCTTAGTGGGTACTTTTCAGTGCATCGACTAGTGTAGCAGAAACAAGCAACGCCAGAACAATTGAAAGTTCGAATGGGTTGAGACTGTTGGTGTCTGTTGAAAAACCACCTGTTTTTCATGAAAGTATAGATGATTTTCCAGACGAAGATTCTGATGACCCGGGTGAAGAAGTCGATGAAGATGTTACGGTTCCAGCGGCAAACGGTTTTATTTACTTTTATCACTTTTGAGACTATCCTTTCACGTATTTCAGAAGTTAATCAGTGAGGATTATATAATGTAATATTCTGAGATTGTTTTGATGCAGACGATAGGTTTCGGAATTCTAGTTATATTTTCTGAAATGCCTGTGCTGCTTTTATACCACCTTTTTTTTTTTTTTGGAAATTTAATACTTTACTTCACTGGTACTGAGAAACGGCTTCAGAATTTTTCAGCTACATCGGGATCTCCGATCTTAGGAGGCATAAGTGGCAAAGTAATCGGAGCGTTAGCAAATGCGGATGATGATCCTTACCGTCCAAAAATGGAATGTCCAACTTGTGGTCTTATATTGTACCGCCATAATTTTAGTACGCATTACAGGATTCATACAGGAGAAATGCCATTTGCATGCCAGTTTTGTAGCAAACGCTTTCGCACTACCTCTGCTCTTAAAGTACATATTAGGTTGGTCTATTTTTTATTTCATAAGTGGTATTGTCTTTGGAGATGTGTGTTACATAGTTCGTTAAGTTTTATTTTGGCGAATTCTTATACTCATTCTTTATTTCATGATTAGAAAGTGTGAAAAATAATTTTAGAGCTCATACCGGTGAAAAACCATATTGTTGTCCGAAGTGTACGTATTCTTCAATAACGAAGCGAAATCTAGATCGGCATATAATTAATAATCATATCCGAGAAGGCGAAAGAAGAGGTAATTTTTAGTTAATACTGATTTCTTGATCATTTTTTTCCCAGTTTGTCATATAGAAGACTACAGGTCCTCGGCAAAGGAAATCTAGATATCGTGATGATACGGACGAATACTATACTTTTGGAGAATTGGCTGAGAGCATGGATGGCGATCCAGTGGACCATCATTACATATTATTGGGCGATAATGTATTCGTTTCGATTTTGCAGTCTTCTCTCGTGAAAAATTCATTTGTTAAAGCATGGAGAACTAATTTTAAAAGTTTTTTGCTGGAAAAGTGGAAAGTTGTGTACTGAAGGGCTTTTTTCAGCTTGGTGGGCCTAGAGACGATGGCGTTGTTGTGCAGAGACTTAATGATGACGAAGAGGTCGAGATTTATGGGGCTGCTGAACTTGAAAGGATATAAATGGAGTGGCTGCAGAGTGGTCTTATTGTACCACGATAAATTTATACGGAGTAAAAGGCAGTAGCCAATGTCTGATTTTTGTATGTGATGTCGGCCTTTTGGTCTAATTTTAAAACCACCTGCGTGTTTTTTTTAGAGTGGCATTGTCGGGTCTAGTAGCTTTCTTGTAAATTGATTACGCTTTGTAAAATTTTTATTGGTAGGTTTTCGCTGAAGAAGTCAAAGACGCTTTTTACCTCCAAATTAAATAATTAGCCTTAATTAATGCTGTTAAATCCTTTAATATTGTAAGCTGCGAAAAATCAGTGCCTATTTTGTCTTCATATGATTTATTGGCAGCAGTCATTGTTAATGTATAGATATATTGTAAGTCCAAAGATAAATTGCTATATTACAACATCCTGTCATTGACTGCGTTTCAGAGTACTAGTGACATGTTGAGGATTTCAATAATTATTATTTCTCGCTTTTGTTACTGCATGTTAAAGTTATGTAGGGCAATACTTTTGATTGAGCGTCCGTATAAGGGAAGGTTTGGACGGTGAATCCATTAGCAGGCCAACGAGCTTCAATAAAAGTGCTGAAAAAGGGTACAGCAGAATCAGTTTTTGGCCGTCGAGAAGGCATGAGTGATCTGACTGATGACCAGAAGGAGAGACTGCGTATGGCACGGCGTGTGCAGACGATGTTGAAAAGTATTGCTGATGATTGGTTGCGAGGTATCCGCGAGGATTCGGGTATTGCGAGCAGTGGTTGTACTTCTACTGCGAGGAATGATTGCATTCTGAATTGTTTGGAAAAGTGAGTTGCTTTCCATTGCATAACTTTCAAATTACAGAGGAACTGGGGATTATAGAGGGAAGATACGTAAGAAGTGACTGGAAGAATCGTTTTCACCCTGAAGTTGTTCAAGAATTTCTAGTATTTTTTATCTGAGGGTAGTAAATGGACATGTTTTGTAATATTTCGTCAGATTCTAAATCTGCAAATCACACTCGCCACGTTATTTTCATTCCGTTGAAAATTGGAACCATGTGAACCGTTACGCGAAGGAGATAGTATTGGTGCATCTTTCTTGTAGAGAGTATAGTAAAAGTTTTGGAGGACCTCAGCATTTATAGGATTATTTATAAAAACCAACGGAGCTAACACTATGCCCCAAATACTTTTTACCTGAGAAGTCTAGGAACAATGGTTTTGTAATTACCGACTACTATTTCCCATTGATGCGATGGAGTTCAGAGTTAATTCAGAAAGAAAGTCTTCTATGCTTTCCATTTTGGCTTGTCTGGACGAAGGAAGTAAACTGAGTCGAGGCTCAGACGAAATAAAACTTTAATTGTCATCATTTTGAGGGTAAAATTCAGTGCACGCTCACTACTGCTCACTTGCTTTTATAACAGATGGCCGTTATAGGAACGAAGAAATTGTACGTGACACTACTTGAGTATAGGGTACTAAAAATGGCTTTTACTTCATGGGATAACAGCAGGCCGGCAGACACCATTACATCGGCCTCATAGAAAAGATTCCTTATTTTCAGCTTACTAAAAATAAATCCCCTTATGCAGCTTTCAAAAATTGTTTTGCAGTTTCTCATTTTTCATTTAGCAGATTCACAAAATCGTTCAATAAATTTTTCGCGCACCTGTGTTTATGGGACTGCGAAGTTATATGTACAATCAGTCGTTTGACTGTTAAGTTTTTTTCTTTATGAGTGGCCCATTTTATCCTCTGGTTGGCTGTTGAGACGAAATGCTGGTGGGGGTTCCAGCCGCTGAGAATGATTTTTATAAGCTTCGTTTTCTGAGGTGCTATCTGCAGGAGAAGAAATAGTTAAATTCCGCCAAAAGTGTGAACGTAGAGCTGTTTCGGCGAGTTTATTTTTTGTAGAAGCTGAAAAAAATTTTGTTCTTTGGGTTGGTTGACTGAATGGAAAAAGTGTATTGCAAAACTGCGTGACACTTTCGAGAGTTACAGTGAAGAATTAGCTAAACATGGGCTAGATAAACGAAAGGGTTTTTTCTGAAAGCTGATTGACGATAAGGCCGCGTGTCTAAATTAGAAGAGTTTGATGTGGACATTTTTACTTAGTGGGTCATTTATTACAAATGTGAAGAGTAGCGAGCTAAGCAGTAAAATTCCGGTCTCAGGTTGCTGACGGTGAGCTTTATTTTAATATTCTGTTTAGTCGTTGTTTTAACTTTATACTATCGGCACGGCGGTGCCATATTAGAAAAGAAGTATATAATTTGTAAGCCCTTTTTCAGATCTTAAAGTTTTCTCGTGTACTTCAACGGTGGGCTTCGGAATACCGAGTCCGCACTCGTAAAGTTAAGAAGTTTCAGAGTTGTCATCATTTTCCTTACTACTGGGATCTGAGAAGTGTTTCTGAAGCTAAAATGCAAAAAAAAAAAATTTGAAAATCCTAAGCAGAGTTTAATTGAAATATGTCAGTAGGATCTGTAGAGGATAGAGAGGATTAAGGTCTCTTTCCTACAGTTTGGTAGCGGAAATTTTACTGGTTGAGTATTGAAAAACTGGTTGCCAACCGCTATGGAACTTACAGCTTTGAGTGTATTGATACATGTGAAATATACTTTGTTCTTCCCGTGACCGTCCACGTCTCCGACTAGAAAATAAGATTTTCATAATTCAGTGAACAACAAATTTTTGGTTAATTTTCATTGGTAATTTGCTGAGTTCTCTCTTGCTGCAGTTAGATGTTAAGCTGCAAGATAGGATGAAGATTTTTTTTTTGTTTATGTGTGTCTTTCATTAAGTATAATAAAAGGTGCGATAAATTGGGGTCTGCAAGGTGCCTGAGGGGTGCTTCTTTTGAGGTCACTTTAGTAAATATAAGTAAAGCTTTTTATAAATGTTGAGAGACAAAAATGATGCAACTTTGTTCTTGTTACTATTGAATACTCTGAGTAAAAATTAATTTAATTTTAAACTTTATAATTAGCAGAACTGCTTCCTTTACTGTTGACGTTTAAGCTTTTTTCATTCGCCATTTGCTCTTTACCTGTCCTGACAGCCCTACTAATTTTGGTTTCTTCTATTTTAGACTAAGTTATCTCTTTGGACTCGAGTTGCTAGAGGAAGCTGTATCACTGGTAGAAGCAGACCATATACAATTGTTATCCGATCCTGTTAGCGGCAGAAGCATTTACGAGGTTTGAAATTTTGCTTTTATTTAATGAAGCTTTTCACTAAACTTGTCCACCTGCTGAGTTTTAACATTTTTCATACAGATGAAGCTACTTCTAAAAAGAGCTGCATTTTTTGAGTTATGGACTGGACAACTATGTTATCTGTCGCCAGTTTTTATTCATTGGCGATACACCCTGATACTACTGACTGAAAACTTTCTTTTTAACTACCGTGTATTCCCTCTCTTTTTTGGAAACGTTTTGCCATTGCTGCTGAAAAAAGCTAGTGTGTTTCTCCCTGAGGGCTGAATGAGTCAAGAAAATCTTTAGGTACTAGGTTCGAGCACTCAGTCTTACTATAATTGCTACCCAGATGTCAATTATTGTCAGTGCCAGAGTTTCCAGGAAAGAGGTTGGTGAAATAATTTGAGCTTAATTGTATAATGAGTTAATTATTGCACTTCTCAATTCTACTGTTGCTATTAACCATCCTGATTTTCTTTCAAGTCGCTTCAAGTTTTGTTGTTTTCAGTATTGAAGGACCAATCAGCATATACTGTATGTTCGCCCACATATCGTTTTATTTTTAGCCTTTGTACTAATTTTTTCACCAAAACTTTTATCTCATAAAAAATCTCAGCACTAAATTTGGTTCCTGTCACCGCTACTGGGAAGGTATACAAAATTTTTACAAATTTGGTTGGAAAACTTACTAACTGTGAATTAGATTAGTTTTGCGTTTGTCGTTTCTTTCGTTAGAGGTTTTTCCTTTGTTATATGCCCAAAGTTTACTTTCCATCTATTTACTGTTTTGGAGAATGCCCTTAAATATCTGCGTTATTTATGAGGTATGCCTATGTACTTCAAACAACAAACAGTTGGAGCCATCTTATTTCTGCGTTGTATTTGACTGATGTATTGTTTCACAAGTGTTCACAAGTGTTACTTGTATCTTCTCACTGGTGCATTTTTTTTCGCTTTGATTAAGGGATTTTACTTCACTGTCCTGCGTTGCGTGATAATTTTATATGGATTTGTTGGTTACTGTAGTTGGTCTTTAGCAAGTTTCCATTTATGAATAGTGTTATGCGGGCTCTCTTTGTTGCCGAAAAGAATGATGCAGCTAAAGGGATCGCAGCGATTTTGTCGAGAGGTACTGCCATTCGTCGTGAATCTCACTCGAGATGGAACAAAATCTATCAGTTCAACGCAGATATTCTGAGTATGGTCGAAGCTTATAGAAGCTTAGTAGTTATCTTTAGTTGTTTTTAATGCAGCGTTCGTTTATTTAGATCAGCGAGGATGTACTATTGTTTTAACTAGCGTTGCGGGACATTTATTACAACATAAATTTCCTGAAACTCATAAGAATTGGGTTAAAACGCCGATGAAAACATTGTTTGATGTGCCTTTAGAAAAATCAGTTATTCCTGGCATGGAAAGTATCAGGCGAACTTTGTACGAAGAGACGAGGCAATGTGAGGTTAAAGTTGGATTTTTTTCGCTGACAATGTCCTCATTAGTTTGTGTCTTTGTTAGTGCTTAATTACTGAAGTTGCCTTTCGCCTTTTTGTAAAAATTCTTACCTATGCAATGTCACATTTATGAAGTTAGTTGTGGAATTTAGGTATTGGTCATATGGACCGACTGCGACCGGGAAGGCGAAGATATAGGTGCCGAAATTGTTAGTGTTTGCCAGGAAGTTAAACCTAACATAGATGTTTTTCGAGCCCGCTTCTCTGAAATAACACAAAGCGCTATATGGCGTGCTGTCAACACACTTTCTCGCTTGGATCAACGTTTGGTTGATGCCGTTGAGTGTAGGTTTGTAGAATCGCTTCTTCATAAATTTTACATTGTGTCTTTTGGGAACTTTATGATCAGTTTCTTGAAAGTTGTTCAAAGGAATTTCAATAGCGCTGTTCAATTTTACTATTCCAGTTCTTTCCTATTTCATTTTCTTAATGTAGATCAGAGCTTGATCTTCGCATTGGAGCCGCTTTTAGTCGACTGCAGACTCTACACTTAAGGTTCTCTTTAAAAGAGTATTTTTTAATCTTTCCAAACAGTCATGAAAATGTTTCACTCTTCTAACTGTTTTTAAGGGAGAATTTTGCACCAATCTTTCAAGAGCACAACGAAGTTGTGAGCTATGGTTCTTGTCAATTTCCAACCCTCGGATTTGTCGTTGAAAGATATAAAGCAATAAAAGATTTTATAGAGGAAGATTTTTGGAAATTAGAAGTTACTCATAGAAGAGATGAAGCCAATGTTGAATTTTCTTGGTGTCGGGGGAGACTGTTTGATAAAAATGTAGTACAGGTGAAATATAAATTTTTAGTTTTTTTATTTTTTATATTACTTGATGTACGTTTTTTACTTTTTTCTTGAGGTTTTCCTCGATATTTGCGAAGAAGCTTCTGAAGCTCGAATCAAATCTGTTACTAGCAAACCAAAAAGCAAGTGGCGTCCTGTTGCGTTGGATACCATTGAATTAGAGAAATTGTCTGTAAAAAAGCTACGAATTAGTGCGAAAGATGCTATGGCAGTTGCTGAAAAATTATATACAAAGGGTATTTCTTTGAGAAAGCTGTTGTTAGGAACTTGCCAAGTTCTTATTGTTTGTTTCGCAAGACTGGTTTTGCAATTACTGAGCATCTTTAAGGCTATATATCATACCCTCGGACTGAAACCAACAAGTTTCCCTCAGAACTGAATTTGGAACCTTTTGTCGAACAGCAAATAGCTAATGCAGAATGGGGTGAATTTGCGCAAGAACTCGCAAATGTGGGGCTGAACCCGAGGAATGGAACCAAAACAGATGAAGCTCATCCTCCTATTCATCCTCTTAAATTTGCATCACATAACAACCTTATTGGACTGGACTGGGCTATCTATGAATTGGTCGTCCGGCATTTTCTCGCTTGCTTATCTCATGACGCTCGAGGGCGAGAAACAACTGCTGTTGTAAATTTTATAAATTAATTCTTCTGTTTTTCTTTTTACTGTGTTATTTTACAAGGAAGTCTTTTTGGCACCCCATTCTTTTTGCTTATATAAACATTTAATTTTTAGCTTACCCTTGGGGAAGAAGAGTTTTCCGCCTCTGGATTAGTTGTAGAAGATCTTGGCTACCTTAAAGTGTATAAATATGATAAATGGAGTGATAGAGTCTTACCGGTCTACAGAGAAAACGAAATTTTGCATGATTACAGTGTTAACATAAAGGAGGGACGTACTCAGCCTCCTTTACTGCTAAACGAAGGTGCGGAATTTAAAATTTACGGCTGATGAACTCATTTGTGACGATTACTCATTTTCCTTTGTTTAGCGGACCTTATTGCTTTAATGGACAAGTATGGGATTGGCACTGATGCAACTCACGCAGAACATATCGAAAAAATTAAAACGCGTCAGTATGCTACGTTAAACAAAGAAAATCGCTTTGTGCCAGGATATCTAGGTTTAGCCTTAGTAGAGGGTTATGACAATATGGGTTTCGCAATGAGTAAACCTCACTTACGTGCAGATTTGGAATCGCAACTGAAACTTATTTGTCGTGGTGAAAGGTGAGTGAGTTCATATTTTTTTAAGCTGTTTTGATTCTAGGTGACATGGCGAAGTAGTCTTTGACCCTAGTAATTCTTTTTAATATTTGTCGTAATTGAGTGAAGTTAAGAACGGGTTATTTCATCTGAGTGAAGTATAATTTAGAAGTCGAGACCAGGTTTTGCGGGAGCAGATCTCTAAATATAGACGCATATTTGAACTGACAGAAGATAAAATTGTGATGATTTCTAACGCTTTTCGACAATATTTGAACATGCGAGAACAAGAACTGTTGAATGCATCTGGAGATTCAAGAAATACTTCTAGTACGAGTAGCCGTAGAAATGGTTCGTTGCCGTCTGGAGGAATTCAGAAAACTAGGGCACCTAGGAAAAAATCGTTAGGGAAAGGGGCAGACGGTGGAAGTGCAGTGCCCGCAATTGAACCTCAGGTGGCAGAGCAAGCTTCAACGAACACCAGTGACATCGATCTCTTAGAAAGTAAAACGAATTTAGTCATTTATTTGTATTTTTGCTTCGGCAACTTTTAGCTATGAAGTATTGTCTTCTGAGGCATTTCTAACTTATTTAATAAAGTACAAATAAGTTCTTTATTTAGAAAAATACATCTATCGTACCTAAACCTTGCGGATGTTTTACCATTTAATCAGTTTCTAAATAAACTTTCTCTAGGTCTTTCTATCCTAAATACAGGCCGAAAACGCACTAAAACTCGTTCCAGTGATTTCGGAATGAGTAGGGCTACCAATTCGTCCACTCAGAACCAGCTCGTTAATAACTCATCTAATCTCCAAGGAAAGCTTTGTCGGTGCAACTTGCCTGCTGTTCGGTTGCAGGTTCGGAAAGAAGTAAAGGACTTTAATCAATTTTTTATGAATTATGCTCAGTTACATTCAACTGGTTTTATGAAACATCCATAACATTTTTAGGGCCCAAACAAGGGTCGTTTTTTCTTCTCTTGTCCAAATAATCGTGATGCTTCAGTAAGGTGCAACTTTTTTGAGTGGGACAATACGTAAGTTTTTTCACTTTCTGCTTGCGAACGCAAACTCAGATTTGAATTTTTTATTTTTCCAATGAAGATTGAATTTTAATAGACGGTGTTCTGTAATGACGTGTTTTGCTGCATAACTTGCTGCAGCAGTTAAGAGCGTTTTGTACATTGCCGGAAAATTGGTCATTGTCTATTAAAACGCTTTTTTAAATTCTCTTCATTCCAGCCATCGTTTACTTGTGAGTGAAAAAATCCGAATGTTTTGTCTTGGTACCACTTGCTTTTTTTTGTTAATTCCGTTAATTTGATGTTTTAACTCTTCTCTAAGCAAAATTTGTTTCTACGTTCATTTCGCCGAGCGCATCAATTGTCAAAATTTCGTTTTTTAGTACCTTAGTTAGTTCTTATTGGCTTTCTCTTTAAGAAATTAAATTTTTCTCTTTATTTTTTGAAGTTTATGTATTGATGAATCCTTAAATGTAAAAAGGTAATTTTTGCAGTGCAAAAACTCTCATACTTAATGTAGGTCTTAAGTAGTTTAAATGTACTCCGTATTGATTTTGTGATCTTATGCAGTGACCTTTTGTCGCTTGAAGTATGTTACTTTCTCTTTGTTGGTTACCCATTTTTTTTGTTAGTAATTGAAAATATTTTGTTTTGTTTTTTGCTAATGGTTCCTTAATTTGTTTTCTATAGAAGAACGAAAGAAACGACTTCTTTATCATTAAAAAGCTCAGTCACTTAACTTTTTTGTTTTCCTTTTGCTCTTCCGAGTTACTATTAATTTTGAATCGCGTTTTTTAGTGCAAGCACGTAATGGCTGTGTGGTTAAGCAAATATATGGAGAAGGTCAAGGAAAGGACAGTTGGTCACCAGACTTTGTCGCTGGCGGTGAAACAACTTGCTCAGTATGCATATGAATTCTACTGAGTTTTTGATTTTAAAGTTTTGGTATTTTGTAGCTTTAGCATGTTTATCTTTGAATGTGACCACTGTGAAACATTTCATTCTAGTGTACGTTGAGCAGTAAAGTTGTTGACTATTAATTTTTGGGGCTCCATTATTTTTTA